TGGAAAAGGGTTAGAAGAGACACACGTCCTCTCTCTGGCCCCACGTGGCTCCTCTTGGCAGCAAGCGTCACAGACTCACTTGGGTCTGAAGCGGCCCTCCAACGAGACCTCTACCCCATGCATCACGCTGCAATGCCACAGGACTGATTTCAGTCACTAAGGAACGGGCGTCTAGCCTTGCCTCTCCGGGCAGAGCCTCCCAGGCCTGCATGAGCCTTGCGGTTAAGTCCTGATACTCAGCCTGCGTTTACCCTGCTGCAAGCGATCCCCGTTTCTCTCTCCTCCTGAAACTGTTCCCTCCCCCCTGCAGAACACAGCTGGCTCCCCCAGGACACCCTTCCTGCTCTCAGGCTTTCCTGACCATCACATCTGTTACTGTGCTCTGACCGGTGCCTCTTGGGAAAGTGGGAAATAAAGGTGAATAAAGCTGAAATACCTAAGCCCATGTCACGAGTACATTTAAACTAGGAGCTCCGGTCACTGCCTTGGGTCGTCTCTCGTCCCAGCACAGCAGGTACCAGGAGAGTGTAACCCACCCCGGCTCTATCTAGCACAACGGGAATCAAATGCAATGGTCGCCTCTTTGCCTACAGTGCACTTCTTCTTGGAAACGGGGTCCGGGCTCAGGAATGATGCAGGACAGAGCCGTGACCCAGAGGTGCCAGGGCAAGTTAGCGGTGGCCCTCACGTCAAGGCAGTGTGGGACCCCGCTTTTGTTTTCCAATCTGCGCTCCGGGGTTTTACAGCCAACACATTCAAATCTCGGGGTTTGATCTGCAAAATACACCCCGGTACGGCCCTAAGTAGCACGGGCTAAAATCCAAAGCAGACGCCTGCAGCAGCAAGTCTAATATAGGTGACTTGCCATTGGTATTGTATGATTAGTCCTGGTTATCGGGGTGGCACTCAGAGGTCCCGATCCGAGTCCCACTGTGCCCGGCACCGTACGCACACAATGCGAGACTGCCCCAGAGAGTGTGGGTCTAAACACCGTAACCATCTCTCCCCGCTGGCGGGCAGCTTCGGAAGCCATGTTCGGGAGATGACAACTTCCAGCAGAGTATTGACTAGCAGGCTTTGACACAGATGCTCCCTGACATTTCTGCACTGAGCTCTCTGTAGAAGCTACCCAGGGTAATCCAGTACTTACGGTTTCTGGCTTTCGTAGCTCTTCAGCCGGCCCATCTCGCCAGTGTAGACCTTGTTCATATTGATGTCCGTGTGGACCACCAGCTCATACTGACGGATGCTGGCGAAAGAGGGAAAGGAGGCAGCTGTGAACCACTGAACACGGCTCAGGCCACGGGTAACATCAACAGCCCTGGTTTCCCAATCCAAACGAGGTGTCCCCGGGCAGCCAATGCCCTTCGGGGAGCAGTGGGAAGTAGCGGCACGATGAGTCATTTCAGCATTTTCAATGCCGATCAGAGCTGCTTCGGTTACTGGTGACTCGAGTTTGGAGGTCTCAGGTGAACAGCCTCAAGCACAGGCCTCATCACAGTGCACACGCAGTCATTTGGCACGACCCGAGCGGACTCCCCAGAAGGGGTCAGGGCCAGCGCTCCCCGGGGAAGCGTCCAAAGAGGCACACAAGGTTCACCCAGGGCTGAACTTTGCTGAACCCTGGGTGACTGGCAAACGGTTTGCATGGGACCGTGCTCCTGGGCGGTTAATAGACACAAAGTTCACCCGCTTCGGGCCGCCAGACAAAGGCTCCCGGTTTCTGAGCGACTGGGAGCGTGGGGAGAAGGGAGAGCACAGGGAGCCACTGCCCTGTGTCCAAAGCAGGCGTGTCAGGAATTCCAACCCACGGCAAAGTCCCTCGGTGCTAAACCCTCAACTGCAAAGTGCCGGGGCAGCCCTGGGGCAGTGCGGGACGCGCGCACCGTACTGCAGTCAGGTCTACGCGCCCCAGGGCCTCAGCGCGATGGGGGCTGGGCAACGTAACAGAGAACGAGCTCAAAGTCGGCCTAGAAACACTGCTGCTCTGACCCCCGGCACGGCCCGGTCAGCCAGCGAGCACTTTGTCCGCCCCAGACACATCCGTTCTGGGCTGACAGGAAAGAGCCAGGCCGACCTCTCTGGAGACTGAGGGCCGCCATTTACACCACCGCAGGAGCGGCCTCCAGGGGACGGGATCACCACCACAAAGGGGAGGAGAGGTTGGCCCTGGCTTCTCGCTGGGCCTGCCAACAAGAGACAGGCACGAGTGCGAACGTGCAGAACAGGCTTCCCGCTAGGCCTGGCTGAGTCCGGGCCCTTGGCCTGCATGAGGGTTGGGCAAGGCGGGCTCCGACGCCCGACAGGTCTGATGCGCTGTCTCTGCCAGGCTCCCTATAGATACAGGGCCAAGGACACTTGCTAGGCCAAGGATACCAGCGCCTGTACATCACTCGCTCTGAGTGGCCCGTGCAGCGTCACAGCTCGCACTGCTCTTCCAAACCAGCCACGTTATGCCACGGGGGCTAATGGCACACCATGGGGAGAGTGACATTTCCCAGGGCCTGCCCTGCTTGTAGTGGGAAGCAGCTACAGAGAAGGGAGGTTTTTAGCCGGCTTCCGTCCCCCCTCGCAAGCTGGCCTGACCATCACACCACGTCGGCCAGGGCCAGTTGCATTCAATGCTTCTCCATCAGGCACAGCCAGTGTGAAGTACAGGGACGCCACGCAGGGAATCCGGGTCGCTCCGGCCATCCGGCGTGCGCACAGCCGCTGCCTCCTGGCTGCTGCGCTCTAGACGCCTGGGGTGGATGATTTGGGCTTTTAAAGCCCTTCATAGACACACCTCCTCTCTGTACAACCTCGCTGTCAGCAGGACACAGGGGTTTGAGACAGGCCAACTACCGCCCACGTTACTACCGCCAGCGGCTGGAGCGTGCCCCCTGCAGATCTCCGGGTGTTTGTTTCACTAGGCCGGGGGTGGGCAATAATTTTTGAGCGGGGGCCACCCTGGAAGGGGCGGTGCCAGGACACTTCCTGCTTCCCCCCACAAAGACCCTGATTGGTCTGGGGATTGGGGAGCACACAAAGTCTTTCCTCCCAGAGAGACCCACCGGCTGTTCTGAACATTGGTAGTTCCCTCTAGGTACCTGTTCCCCTGGCGTGGGAGGAGACTTCGCGTTCTCCCCCTGCTGCCCCCAGATCAATCAGGGCCTGGGGAGGGAGAGCATGGGAAGTCTCTCGCCCCCTGGCCCCCTCCCCTGCAAGGGGGCACCACCCTTAGAGTCAGCCACCAGCTGAGCAGCAGCTGGAGGTTGACTTAGTGATGAGCCACTTTCTGGGAGGGAGGAGGCTTCACAGGCGTGGGAGGAGACTTCGCGTTCTCCCCCTGCTGCCCCCAGATCAATCAGGGCCTGGGGAGGGAGAGCATGGGAAGTCTCTCGCCCCCTGGCCCCCTCCCCTGCAAGGGGGCACCACCCTTAGAGTCAGCCACCAGCTGAGCAGCAGCTGGAGGTTGACTTAGTGATGAGCCACTTTCTGGGAGGGAGGAGGCTTCACATTCTCACCCCACCCCCTAACCCTGACTGGCTGGGGGGGGGCCAAGTCTCCT